AATCGACTCAAAGTCGACGGATTGAACGAATTCATTGAGGCAAAATTTCCAGTACCAAATATCGCGGCCAATACGAAACTAACGCAAATTACTGCACGACCCAACTCTGCGCCGGCTATTCGACGTGATGGTGAAGTGCAAACTGTAACAACAAAAATATCATTCAACGACAGTAAGACCGAATAAGATCTTTTGTAATTGGGCGTACCAACAGCAAATGACCGATCGGCTGGAAGATTGAGAAAGTCAGTAGCCGACATATGACCGAACTCAAACCGTAGATACATTAATAGTAGTGGAATGAAACATAACATGAAAGTCGATTCATAGGCTATCGATAGCAATGAGTATGGCACAAACAGTGAACCTATAAATAGACTGATTTTTTATACATAAAAGAAAGATGGTTTCAAATTCTTATCAAGGAAACCCACAGATAAACCATGAGATTCTATCAACAATAGTAGGTGGTGAAAAAAGCGGCAGCAGAAGCGAAAAGGGCAGCGAAAGCCAAGAGATAAGTCGGAGGAGAGCTGGCGGCTGCAAAGGGTAACAAATAAGTACAATAGCTAGAAAAAGTAAGTTATAGAGAGAAGAAATATAAACGTTAAAAGAAAAATTGATAGAAAAAAAGGGTTGAATGCGGATATCAAAAATACTAGGAAAGTGAAACCAAATGGTTCATCAACAGAACGGTAGACCAACTGTAAATGAATAGCTGAGGTGAAAAAACCTACCTTTTGGAATAGATAGGACGACACCAGAATCAGAGTAGCTGTCACCATTAGCATGGCAGACAGCCTACGAAAATTCTCTGACTTCTTTTCCAATAAAGGATGTAGAGGCAGTTTCCGTAATATGATAGCTAACGTTAGGGGTGCACCAATGCACAGTAACGGAATTTCAGATCTGCCAACATTAGGAAGAAAAGGAAATGGTATAAGAGCAACGCATGTTAGCTGCCATGCCCTCTTCCTGAAAATGGTGATATTCTCAATCAGATTAGAGTACATGTAATTGTAAAAGAGCTCTATATGATTCACTTGGCAACTAAACAAAAATCCACTTAAGTAGGTATTATTAATCATTTAAGTGATTCGTTCCTCACTATAGTTCTCTTAATTCTCTTAATAAGTAGCGACAGGGATGCGCACCACCCCTATCATATAAGTTACCTTCGATCCAATCCGTTCTTACAATTAGCTGGCTAAGTTGAGCGTCAAGAGAATAGCATTAGAGTTATCGAGACATATACATATCTTGAACGGATGATAGATCGAACTTGGGATAGGACCGGGGAACACCACATGCTAACTGCTGGCCCTTACGTTTTTATGAACTCGCCACAACCGAAGGCAGAAATGAGGAAGGACTTTCGGCAAAAGCTTAAGGAAGCGCGTGACTTCATACATTGGTAAAGTAGTTTCTGCTTAATAATAATCAAATACTGAAGAAAAAGCGCCTCACCACTCGTTAGCTGCGCTCGAGCTGTACAAATAAGGTACAAACATCAGTAGAACAAATAACGCAGACAAAAACCTGCGGTCCATAAATATGATGACGAATACGAAAAGCAAAACACCTGAGAGAGTAATTCATAATTTCTTCAGCAAGATGACCCATTACCACCACAAAATGAGAATAGGTAACTGGTGTGAAAACTTGCTTGTTCCAATGACTCCGAGAAACGGCTGAAGCAGGAATGTGAACGATGCCGTCGAGTAATTAGAGACGCAATAGCGAATAAATTCACAGACTCTAGCCGTAACATTAAGAACGTTTTCAATGACAGACAGTAGAAACAACGGCAATAATAAGTAGAACCAGTTCGTCAGAGGTAATCTACAGTAGATGCAGAAAAACACCATACAACCAATAAGACTAGAAAACATTCTATTTGGAACCAATGTGTTCCGTGTAAATATGGAAATGGAACGATCTCTGGAATAAAAGGGAATTCATATCTTAAAAGAAACAATGATTCTATTTGATTCATGCCTTTAAATCCGACTAAACAAACCTCGTGAGGTAACACCACACCAATGCTATCCATGTCATAAAACAACAACTTATAGCTGCTCCAAGGAATGCACGATCATAGCGATGATAGTGGAATATCGCCTTTTTGATGTAAGGAGCATTCTGTACAAACAATGAGGAAGCAGCAGCGAACCTTCTGAAAATATAGGAATGTGGTAGTTGGTTCACGAGAGACATCGCGAATTATGCAGATCTAGAGAACCTACCGCAGCTTTGCCAGCTTCAATATCTCTGTTTCCAGGGATTCCAACGCTTTCAAACCGAATGTGTCAAATTCTTGGAACCACAGACGTTTCGCTTTTTCGGCTCTCAACACCATGAACTGCTCTTTGAGCTGAACTCATTGACGGAAGTCAAGTCCAGGCACTTTCAGCCTACCAAATTACTGAAAACTTTACTACCTGAAGAAAATTAGCCAGACTGCTCTTGAACAAATAATTCGGTGAGACGTCAAGAGCTTGAGTGGGAAGTACACCCATGGAATTCACGGGCACAGCCACACCTATTAGAGCGGCAAGAAACGGTGTGAGATCCACCTAAATGGCATTTTTTTGTTATGAGTGGCATTACAAAGCAAGAAATTCTGTAAGACCTGGGAAATAGTATTCGTCACGCCGCCTTTATGCACTCCTGCTCCCCACGCGACGAAGGGGGTCAAAACCTGCAATAATTCCAAGATCTATGGTAGAAAATTACGTGAGTAAGCTAATTCTCTTGAATTCCGTCAGCACCTTGAAAAAAGTCGTAACGCAATCAATCATCAGTGGCATCAAGATCTTTTTTGTGAATTCTCTGATTAATTCAAATGCGAAAACGGTAGCGGAGACATCTGATTAACGCGAATATATTACGAAATGCGTGGCCCATGATCTACCTCTTCATCAGTTCCTGCTCCGTGAGAACCCCAATCCGTCATTCCGTGATCCGCCGTCATCACGAA